CTCAGTTCAGTTTATCATCAGTTTTCGTAGTCGCTGCGTATCGTCGGAAGTGCCTCTAAAACAACCTGTTGTGTTAGGAGCGGGAAAAAAAAAGGAAATTTTTCTTCAGAGAGACCCGATCGGATAATTTGATACCAGAAGTCATGGGAACTAAGTAAGTTTGTGCTCATATTTTTCTGCTTGCATTTCGGATTTTTTCAGGAATCTGCCCCCTTATTTGAGGCCCCTTTCCTGCGAATGATGTGTTTTGGTTTTTTTCAAGGTCGCCAGACGATCCACGGTGTTTTTTTCTTCTTTAGGCAAGTGAATACCGATGTGTTGACGCGCATTTTAGCCGAGTAGGGGATGCAATATTAATAATAATCTTTTAATATATCTTTTTTTTTTTCATTTTAAGAACCATACTTAAGGCTTAAGTTTCACAACACATTTTTTTCATAACATATCAGATTATTAGATCTTAATTCGTAGATTTTGCGTCCAAATCCTACAGAGAAGATAATGTTTTTTCAAAAAATTTTATTAGTTGGAGAGGAATTGTTGATTTATGTTTCAAAAATTTGTTGGAACAGATCCATAAAATCACCCCCCCCCCTTTAAAAAACCAGATTTGCAACGTGGAATAAACCCATGTGGAATTTAATAAAAAAATTATCGAAATTCATGTTACATAATAGAAAAAGTAATAAACATAGCGTTGTATTTTTCCATAAATCAAAACTTTAAGAGATTGAAGGTCATATGGTTGAATTTTTTGTGATTTTCGAATATCCTTAGAAAAATAATTATACATCATGTAAATATATATATATATGTGTGTGTGTGTGCCCGGACAATTTAAGTAGCGTTTTAGAGAGAATGTGATGGGTTTTTTGGTGGGAGATTTTTGAAATGATTTAATTTGTTGGATTTAATAATGAAATTTGTATTTTATTTCTTTTATTTTATTTTATTTCTTTTATTTTATTTTAGGTTTTTATGTGGTATAAGTGGTTGTCAAAAATTTTTGTTATTGGTATAAGTGGTCTTTTGTGGGTTGTCAAAAATTTTAAATATTCTCTCTCTCTCTCTCTCTTCTTTTTAACCATAAGAACCCTGGATATTTTACTTTCATGATACACAGCTTGTGGATTTTCTGAAATGTATCTTGATAAGAAATAAAATCAATAGATTGAAGTTATTGGAATTATTAGAGTTTCCGCAAGCGGTTTGAGAAAAAGTAGAAGGGAAGAAAATCAATCAATTGGAACAGATTTTTTGAAAAAAAAAAAGTTTTTAAGTGAGAAATAAAATGCCCTCTGTGGGAAAAAGTGAATAGTACTTGTTGTTGACATTGATTGCAAATGCACTAGACTGAAACGAAACAACTTTATTTTTTAAAAAAATTTATTTTAAATGCATATATTTACTGTAGAAATTGAAAAAAAATCTGCATTGTAAATAATTACAGTTTAGTGGCATCGTAAAAAAAATAATTCAAATGAAAAGTTTCTTTGCATTTGAAGATGCTAAAAAGGATTTTTTGCAATATTTTCACTTTTTAGGATTTTTTTTCATTATTTTATAAAAAAAATTCAAGAATATGACTTTTTTTAAAAATAAAATTAAAACAAGAAGCATGTTTTTGTTTTAGTCATACCTCATTGATTTAATTCTTTTAAATGTATTTTTTCTCTTTTGAAATGGAATTGATAAATCGTAGCCTTGGCCTGTTAAAGCATTTAATACTTCAATTTGGAAATTATTTTTGTGTTTATCTATTTTGGAATATTTTGTGAATCATTAAAATTTTATTGCATTAAGTAATGGAAGTTTAGAAACAACACTCAAACACACCCATTTATGCGTCATATTATATTTAGCTCAAGGTATTTCGAAAAAGTTTTATTTTCTATGTAATCATCTTTTCAAATGCTAGATTTTCTTTGAAAAAACGCGCGTAATTGTTCTTTATTTTAATTTTTAGAAACATAATTTTCTAAAACTAGGGAACAATTTAGAAAATATCATTCAGTTTATTTGATATTGCATCATCCCATACTTGGGATCAGAAAATAAAATTCAGTTTTTTTTAAATATAATGTAAATAATTTGTGCAGTTTGCTTTCCGGAATTTTGAAGACAAATGAGTATTAGAGTTGTGTGTGAATTTTATTTCTTGTTCATTAAAAAAAATATTTATAATGGCTATAATGACATCTACAGACTTCTTTTACAGAGATATATTTTTTTGGAGAAAAAACATGCACATATACGCGCGCAGAGACGAAAGCGCTGAATTGTTATAGCTATGCCCGTTTTTGATTTTAAAATCTGTTGGTCAACGGGGCGTAGGGGGGAATCCTCAAACACCACCCTTGTGTATGCCACTGAATATTTACTTAATCTAATACACGTAACTATTTTCAGTCAAGCTGTTTGGACGCTTCCCCTAGTGATTATGGTCACTGACTTGTGGCCGGCGTGTCATGAGTTCGAGTCCTGGTGCCACTGGAGACCCACCGTGAAGAGGGGCTGATACACGTTGAATATGTCAGGGCTCAAAGTCCTTCCGTTGGCGTGGTGTGCAAGTGCGCAAAGGGGGAAGGGCAACTCAGATGTCGTCCTCATCACTTGATCGAGGTTCGTCGCCAGTAGCCCTCGTGTATAACTTAACAGTTCGACGTTTTTCACTCCCTCAATCAAGTCATGTTTTACAATCAATCAATTATTCAAACAATAAGAAAAAGTAAATGCCGAAAAGATTTATAACTTTTAGCTGTACACTGCACATACCACATGCCAATAAATATATTTAAAATTTAATATCTTTAGTTAATTGGATATTTTTGTACAACAAAAGACGTAAACTTAAATGTTATGATTTTAGCATGGGAGATCAAGGCCATTTCGAAAATGATGATAAAAAGCTTTATTGCATAATATTACCCTCATATTATGTAATCCCGAATTGTATCAGTGTTAATCATTCAAGAAGTTATTTGTAATAAATAGACGTGAAATAGTGCAATCGAAAGTCGCAGCAAGACGTTTTAAGACACAGGTTGGAATTCTTATTCCAGCAAAGAACTAGTGTGAGGAATAAAAACAGCTGTTGTTCATTAAATGAAGTGAATTGAATATTTTCGTAAAAATCATGGCACAACTCAAGTGACGTGATGTCAGAGTTACAAAAAGAATGGGCTCGGATGTTTTCCGTGTCGATTAATTGTGGGTTTAAATTATCATTATCCGTACTCATTGCCCATAACCCTTGGGCTGCTCAGAAGAGATGTTTAAGGTACCCGAATACTTACGGCAACTTTTTTTTTTAAAAAAAAATGAAGATATGGAGGATTTTTTGTGGTTTTTGGATTTGTTTAGTACATTTTAAGAAAAATATGCTAAAATTAAGAAGAGAAAAAGAAATTATTATTACTAAAATAGGTAAAAATTTACAAAAAATAACATAAACGGGGCCCATTCTGTACCAAAAGTTTATAAACCAATTTTCAACTCTGATGTGTTACTATGTTATTCATTTTTGAAATGATCTTCAGGGTAAAAGATATTTTAATTTATACAAAAACTAGAGCGCTTTGTCTGAGTTATTATATGAAATTGCTTAAAAAACAGTGATTACATTGACATAAGGGACTGTAAATTTTGTAATAAAACAATGATTGATAAATGTGAAGGTTAAAACACTTCTACTATGATACAGAACGTACACAAAAGATTTCAGTTAATTATTTTCAAAACTTTTTTAGCAATCGTTGTCCCCGTTTGAGCCTTTAAAAAAAAACACATTTTGAGTGAAATGGGTTTAAAAATATGACACCTTGCTTAAAGTAATGGCATCTGTTTTTACTAAAACACTTATAGTGTTGGTTCTAGTGAACGGAAAATAATAAACTTGGTATTTTCTTAAGCTAATAAGATGGTTTATGAAACAAAATCATAAAAAAAAATGTCAATTTTTGGCAAAATTCACAGTTTTTAGGTAGTCGGATACCTTAGTCAAATTAGCTGCCTGATGGTAAATTACACAGAATTTTTATAATTTTTTTGAACTTTGACATATCGGAAGCAATATAATTAGTTTCAAAATAAAAAAAAAATGAATAAAACGTAGAACGAAATTTATGATGATCAAATTACATTTTTTTTTTTTACTTGAACACAATTTTATTATTTATATGGTATTCACAATGCAGTAGCGGGCGCAATAACAAATGGTCAAGGTCGCGAACTCATGACTGGAGTTGCTGTATTTGAGTTATGGGTTCTAGTCATGCTGCCACGGAAGTCCTTTAGAGTAGCGGGTTCAGGATTAAAATCTTTCCATTGACGTGGCGTAGGATTAAGGTGCCAGAGGCCAGTTGCCACATGATCATGGTTCAAAATGACGAGGTCCATCTACAAGAACTGCCGTGGTGTTACCGAATGCGACGAAACCGAAATGCGGGAATTTTTGCGGAGAGAATCAAATCTTTTTTTTAAGGATAAATTCTGATCATATTAGACAGAGATAATTTGCTAAATTGAAATGTCTCTGACAGTATCAACTACCAAATAATTTATTACTTTTTATTAAATTGATTTAATCTCTAGACATTTTATGTAAATTTACGATAAATTTTCATTTCTTTTACTTTTCCAGTGAGGATGATTTGATCTTTGCATGTGTTTCTTCTTTCAATTCCTACTAAACGAAAATTAGATTTAACGGGTGCCAGCGGAAGTCGCTTATGCCCAGTAATTCCTACTATTAGTTCACTCTCTCTTTATATATACACCTTGTTCACAAATTTTCAATCGTTAATAAAATACTTTATATTCATCCATTCAAGTTCAAATGCATTTTTTTAAACTTGTAGTGGAGGACACTTAATGTTAATACAGTTTTTTCAAATATTAATTCATTAATTAAATTGAAAAATGAATAAATAGTAACAAACACACACACACACACAAATAATTGCCCAACAACATATATAGAAAGGAAAATCATTTGTTGTGTCCCTGTAGCGTAATGGATTACGCGTTGGACTTCTAATTCTAATGTCGTGGATTCGAATCCCACCTGGGATGGCCAGGTTTCTGAGAATGTGATTTCTTTTTTACTACATATTTTATTAGAATAATTAAATTTAATTTAAGAATAAACACACAGTAACAAACAAAATAAATAGTCCAATACCCTACATAGAAAGGGAAAAGGAAAATCACTTTCTATTTTGTCATTTAATAGTTTGATTCTATCCTATGTATATACATATTTATGTTAATTCTAATTATTTAATAAAAAGTAACTAAAATAAAATTTTTATTTCTTGACCTAAAAAAGAATTGACTTAATTTTTTTATATTACTTGTTATTTATTTTTAACGCCCTTTTATAAGCTTCACTTGTATGTTACGGAATCTTTGAATTCAATTTTTATCCACTTTAAAAAGCAAGATTAATTTGAAATTTTGCTCACTTGTCCAGGACCGACGACAATACAATAATTTAATAATTTTGTTCCATTGTCCTGATAAAGATCATCAGGATTAACGATTTCCCATTTTCGAATCCCATCCCGCATCTGGTGACTAATTTCCAGATTTAGCGACTAAAAGATTATGTTACAACTTAGTTCGATTAACTATAAAAGGGTTTTTTTTTTAGTTTTTTAAACTATAACTTATCTAATACGTAACACAAACTATATAAAGCGCTTACTTTAGTGAGTGATTAGTATTTGTCAAAATAAATGCTTTCACAATTGTTTCTTAGCGTTTTTAAACTGGCCACCAAAATTATATGTCGGTAATAACTGCAGGCATCTATGTAATGACAAAATATCCAAGACTAAACAGCGATTGATTGATTTAATGTGCTGTTATAAAAAAAGAATACTTTGTTTTTATGTCTTAAAATTGTGAATAAATCAGCCAAAAAAAACTATTTAATCACCTTTGTAAAAGCTATTAAAATTTTTAAAAATCGTTATTGTAGAAAACCGCACGAGAGGACTTGCAGCTCGACGGCTGTTTAAAGTACCCCATGCCGCGAAGGGCACTATATATTTACAAACATACATGCCTTCTTCCTGGATTCGAACCCAGGCAAAACGGCACAGCATCACTAACCACTATACTGGATGGGCAGTTCAATTAAGTTATAAACACGCTTTCGGAACAACTTTGTTTTTTGAAAATATAACTCGCTTTGATGTCATTAAAATTCGACAATTTTAAAAAATACTGGATTTTCAAACGAAAATTAAATGAGAAAAAGTGTTATGTAATTTATCACTTCATTTTGAATTGCTTTAAAAAAAAAAAAAAAACGTTTTTTTTTTTTTGTGTGTGTGTCAGAAAATATTGCGCAAGTCCATGGCAGTGAAACAAATTTTTCACCCTGTCTAAAAATTGAATATTTACGCTATTTATTTGCGTTGAGGTTGGTGACATTTGAGGAAATGTGAATGGAAAAAAAAATGTTGGCGACAAAAACGAGACATATTTCATCATACAAAATAACAGACTGAACGATTGGAATCTGTTTAGATTTTATAGATAAAATAAATGAAAAGTAATCAATTTAATTCTTTCCTTTTCCAATTGATGCAACCTGAATGTACGTAATTTTCATTTTGTGGTGTGGTATTTTCTGTTTATAAATGTGTGGTATGTGTTAAGAATGTATTTCGAACAATTTGAAAACAGTAAGCATAAATCTCTGATAACAATATTCAAAAACGTAAACGATTAAAAAATGTCTTATTTCTCAAGCTTTTGAAAGTGGCAACAGTTTTTACAAATGGAATAATATTTTTTATATAAGAATATTTTAATACAAACATCTAAAAACGAAAACGATTAAAAATATTTATTTCTCAAGCTGTTGTGAATGGCAACAGTTTGTTTTAAATGGAATAATATTTTATAAGAATGTTTTTAATTCAGTAAAAGATTTGTGCTACTTATGTGTAAATAAATATAATACGATTTATTTAAAAGGTGTTTTTTATAGGAATTTCTTACGTCTATTCAGAGGTAAACTTATTTTATGTTGTAAAGTAATAATTATTTTAAAGATTTCAGGGTTAGATAGTTCGAACAATATGCTTTTACTGGATTATTTTGTTGAATTTTTAACGAAAAAAGTGTGAAAGCACATTATGCCCATCTTCATAAATAATCTTTAAGGCAAAATTTTTTTTTGCTTTGCTAGTACTATTCGATACCGTTAACTTTATTTGATTTCATTTTAGATATACCTCATAGAATAAAATTTCTGCGGTGGATAATGCCATAATAAAATTGATATTATTTGAAAATAATTGTTGTACTTGTAGAAAAGCTCCGTTATAAGTTTCCTCAGATATAAGATAAAAAGTATTCTGCTGATGATTTTAATTTATAATCAACATATATTTTTGATTAAAATTTTAAAATATTTTGATTTGTTAATTATAGCTGCAGTTTGTATCTAAATTTTACCCGATTTGAACAATAAAAATATCTCCTTATGTAAAAAAAAGGAATGTAATACTATTTATATGGATCAAAAATATTCGAATCTAAGATATGTAAATGTTGTTTTGGTATTGCAACCGGCATTGTAGTATTTGTTGCTAACAACTTGAATATATGTTTAATCCGAGGAAAATAGATTTGATTTAAAAACATCCCCTTTTCTTTAACGTTTATCATAGTCCACTTTAAACGGCTATTAACCAGTGAAAAGTAATGCTTTTAAAAGCAACATTTAACACTTTTTTTCCATGATGTTTCAGTTATTTCACTCTTCATTTAAGAGCACTTTTAGCTTTTAGTTCGTTCGTATATTGAGATAAAAGTTCATTACTCCTTTCTAAAGAGACTGTATTTCTTCCATAAAGATCATTTTGATAGTCTTAATATTTGAGAGTCAATTTACTCTTTCAAGCACCGAAATAAAAATACGGCTGGTGAAAGTTATGAGAATTTATGGTTACATTGCTTTTTTTTCCTCGTAGTTTGTATGAATTCACGATTTTTAAAAATTAAATTTGCGCGATAAAATTTTGAAAAGTTAATTCTCAAATATTAATAACTTAAAACGTACGTCAAATGAACGAATTTATTTTTCTCGCTACGATTACATATGACAACTGACTGTTATGTCTTTGTTGTACAGTTATTACATTGGCGACCTCAGGAAATAATTTTTGCTCTGTCTATCTTACGCAGAAATTTTAAAGGGAAAAATTATTTAATTCGAAAATATGTCAAGAAGAAAACCAAGGTATGAAGAGATGGTTCTCGAAATAAACAGGTCAGCTTCATAACTGTCATTCTTTATAATTTGTTGATTAAAATAATTTTTTAAATTCTAGATTACATATAAATTGTAATAAATCAACCGATCGATAAAATATTACTTAATATTTGCAATTGCTTAATTTTACTGTAATTCATTAGAAATTATAAGAGAAATTCACCACCGTTATAAGATACTTTTGAAAAGTGAGTTCAGTTTTGGTGTAAGTAGAAGTTTTAAAAAGTGGTCGGGTACACTTTATTGGTAGCCAATATTTTAATTTCTTTTGGAAGAAAAAGCGCCTTTAAGTTCAGATTCTATCTTGAATAAGATTTTAAAGATATGCTTGTTGCATTTTAATAACATAAGTAGTAAAGGAAAAAGTTAAAATTTGCCATTTCTCTGTATTAAAAATGTAATTTTTTGAAGTGCTGCATTTTTGTTCAAATTTTCTAAGTTGGGAAAAGCTATTTGAAAAAGTTTACGCATAAAATTCAAAAAAGAATATGTATGAAACAAATGCTATCAGAATGTATAAAATTAGGATTCATCTATTGTTGATATACGAGAAGTTGTAAATATTATTTGTTGAACTTTAAATGCATTCATTCATAGTCTATTTTTGTGTTAAATTGTGATTCACATGAATTCCAAAAACTTTTTCTAAATTAAAAATACGTAAAAGATGCAATAACTAACGTATGAAAAAGAGTTTGACTTGTTTTAATAAAAAGAACTACAATGTAGAAAAATTTGAACGGGTATTACTTAAAACTAATTTGCAATTTCACACCATTCTCTAAGAAAAGTACAGAAGGAAAAACAAACTACAACCCATTTCTTTTTTGTTATTGACAAAACGAAAAGTAAGCTACTAGGATTTATCTCGATATCTCTTCGAAAACATTATTTTAATGAATTTTTTGGCTTAAAACGAACAAACTTAGCGTTCCTTTCGTACTCGTGATCTGTTTTAGTATGTGTATGCTGAGTATAAAAGGACTTGAACGAAACCTTGGGTCATTATTCTTAAAGCATATTTCTCTGATTCATTAGTTTAGTCTAGTCTAGTCACATAAACTTGTTGCCAAATCTCTGGAATGTGAGCTTCTAGAGAAATAATGAGTTCAAAAAATACAGAAAAATAAAGGAATTCAAAAGGACACCGATTTTGAGTGAAATTATGGCAGTAGTGAAAAGTGACTCTTCTGAAGGCAACGAGACTACTGCCCACTCAAAATCCAACTCCTACATAACCTCACGTGCCGTAGAGTTGATGAGAAAAATAGTTGAATTACAATTATTAATTTTTGTTGTTGTAAAAACATAACATATAAACAAATAACAATAAAATTCTTTCAAAAGTCGTAGATATTTTCAATGCTTTAAATTTTTAAGAACGCTTTGAAATAATTGGAAAAAATTGGCTATAGTATTTAAAACTTTGGTTAATTCTTATTGCAATTTGCATTTGTAAATAACACCTCTGATAAATATTAAATTTGCAAATGAATTTTTGAAATTTATGCATTTAAATTTGTTTTAAAGGGGGGGGGCGAACTTAGCTTGTCTTAAAGGCTGTTAACTCAAGATTTCTACTGTTAAATCTGATAAAACTTGTACTTTTCCAAATCCACGCATTGTCAAGACTTCTGAAAATTAATGGATTGCCTAATTAAACTCTATAAAAAAAAATTAGAAGCCAAAGGGTTCAAAAAAGTGTTTCCAGACGAAATCATAACCCATTTCTCGAAGGCAATAATAGCTGCAATATTTAAACCCATCAGGCAATAGTTGA